GGCGGGCGGGGCAGGGGGCGGGACAGATGTGGGTAGGGTCGGACGGACACACGGACACAGCGCACAGACATACCCGGAGGGATGGAGAAGGTCGCGCGCACGCACACACACACACACACACGAGACAGGCGGACGCGCGGGAACGCGAACAGGGACGAGCACATCGCAGGGAGGCGACACACGCTCAGAGCGAGACAGACACAGGGACAAGCAGACGGGCACAGATGCACGCGTAGATGAACGGCCAAGGACAGGCAGAAACACAGAAGGAAGCGGTTAGAAATGGGCAGGTGGAGAGACAGAGTCGGGCAGACACGCAGGTGCACGCACACACACACACACGCACAGACACACGGTCCCAGCCCCTCTCCTCTGGCGGGGGTCTCCGTGGGATGGAGCAGTGGGTAGTTGGTGTGCAGAGGTGGGGACATGCCTGGAGGAGGGCGTGCCCAGGACAGAGACTCATCGCCAGCCCAGCTAAGGGGCAGACGGGGAAGGATTTTGCCTCCAGGTTGTTTGCCAGGAACTGAAAGAGTCGCTTCAGTTTCTCTCCTGTCCACACTGGGGAGGGGGTTGCTGGGAGCACCCAAGGCTGCAGAGCTGATGGGGAGGGGGACACACACACCCCCACACCTCCAGGCCAAGCATCTTGCCCAGGAACACGGCACCCCAGGGCAGAACCTGCCAAGAGAGCAATGGGAAGTGTCTGATCTCTGGGAGCAGCAGCACAAAATGTAGCTGTGAGGGGAAAAAAACAACTTAAATGTGATCCAGGTGTGTGGTGAAATGTGCAACTGGATCCTGGCTCCTGCTGTCTATCTCCATGCCACTGAACTCTGCACTGATTGCCAGTTCCTCTACTCCACTTGTCCCCATTTCTCCTCATAGGAGACCAGGGGACAGCATGAGGGAGGTCCAGCAGATGAGTCGGGAGGATGAGCAAGCCAGGCCTGACACTGGAGAGAGTGTAATTTGCAGAAGAGCTGTCATCGTTTCAAATGGACCAGCCAAACGGGGAGAGATGGTACTGGGATTCACATCTCCTTGGGATCAGAAGTTAATCACAACAGTGGCTATGGAAGAGGCCCTGCAAGCACAGAAGCAACCCTGGCTGGAGCGTACAGGCACCCACATCCCTGCAGCTCTGCTTAGAAGGATATTGCCTTGGGGAGCCCATGGGGAGAACATCCCTTTCACCTGGGAGCAAGGTGAGCCCAGCCCAAGGGAGCCCGGCCTCACTGTGGCAGCAGGCTGCTCCTAGGCGTGCAGTCAGGGACCGGCGATAGGATCGACACACAGATGTATATACCCCACCCTATTTCCATATATCCGTCCCATAGGGCATAGGAGGAAAGAGGAGTGTCGGTCAGTGGAGACAGAGACAGGAGCTATGCACACACTTGGGTAAGAGACCTGGCTTGTGCCTTGTCTTTTGAAGACTCAAATCTGCTCACAAGTAGTTTTACTGGAAGGACTCAGTTTTCTTGAAGCCCATTTTAGTTCAGTGACAGTGATGCTACAACGTTTGGATCTTCTGAGTAGCTTACGTTTTGGTGGCAGAGCAGGCCAGGCAGACAGCCTCGCTGCAGGACCACAATGCCTGGCCCGGGCTGTCCATCTCATGCTGCTGATGCAGAAATCCTCTCCTTGGTCTCAATTTTTTTCAGGTCTTTCACATACTCCTCACACACAAGCGTTTTACCACTTCCTCAACATCTGTTGCTTTGCGTTACAATATCCTAAGTCAGGTTTCTGCTACCGGAAATAGCTGATCAGATAACAGAAGTTTCCAGCTCTGCTTGGTTATGTGTGTGGCATTGTTCTGAGGACTTTGCTCTGATGCTTATTACTGATGACAGAGGCTTCTGTGGTTCTCTTCTGTCTTAGAAAAGTGAGTGCAGCTTCTCCTGACCTTCTCACTTGTGCTGTTTTAGCACTGCCATACATACAGAGTCCAACAGTGGAGTTAGGAGTGTCACAGTCTCCTCCAGCAGAAGAAATGCAAGGGTCCCTGCAGGGACTGCTGATGTCCATGTGTTCAAATCCTTTTGCCTCCCAATGGGTTGAGGTGTTCTGGAGTCTTTCTACACAGGGAAGGAGATTGCATGAAGCAGCTGGGACCTGAGTCGGTTGCTGGTGTGACTGCTGGGACCTTGTAGGTGAATGAGCACAAGGAGTTGGAGTCAATAAATGATAGTAAGTGCTGCTGTCCCACAGAACAGGATGTGGCTCCAGCTCTCTGGAAGGCTGCTTCTGTCAGAGGAGCAGAGGGTGGCTGAGACCTTGGGATCTATCTCAGCATGAGCTGCTGGTTCTGGGGGTGCTCCTGTGTTCCAGACAGCTGCAGCAGAATCCCAAGCCAGGTGGCTGGCACTCAAATGCAACTCCCTTGCGGGCCTCTTGAGCCCCTGAGCCAGCTCTCGGGGGCTGACTTGGCCAACAAAACTGGGATCTTTACAGCCCTCCCAGCAAGGGGGAGAGCTGCAGTGTGGCCACGTCCTGGAGAAGGAGCCATATCCCTGCAGACTAAGAAGTCCTTGAAAGACCCAGACACAAAATTCCCCAAATTCCTGAAATTCTATTCTATTCTATTCTATTCTATTCTATTCTATTCTATTCTATTCTATATTCTATTCTATTCTATTCTATTCTATTCTATTCTATTCTATCCTATCCTATCCTATCCTATCCTATCCTATCCTATCCTATCCTATCCTATCCTATTCTATCCTATCCTATCCTATTCTATTCTATTCTATTCTATTCTATTCTATTCTATTCTATTCTATTCTATTCTATTCTATTCTATTCTACTCTATTCTACTCTATTCTATGGCTGGAGGCTGGAGACAAGCTGATCACCAGCATATCAGACCTGAAATGAGATGGCAAGCTGGAAGTGGGCACAAACTGAAATCAGGGCAGTGCCCAGGCTGTATTGAGCCTCAGGAAACCTTAATGCCTGAGTAACACATGGATCTCTATTGTACCCACCCACATGTGGCATCAAGGGGAACTTTGTAAGTCTAGAAAACAATAACAAAGAGAAACAGTCCCATAGCTAAGAATTGTACACTGCTGAAACCTGTCAGGTTGTATTAGGGATTAAACTGCCCAAGACCATTCCATACCTCCCAGTTGCTTCAAATATCAAGTCTTGCATGTGAGACAGCAGGAGGACTCCTCTCCTTAAAACTCTGTGATCCTCTCTGCACAGCAGCCGCCTGCTGATGGGGTTCGTTAAGCAATTTATCTCCCGAACTGCAATCTGTCTGGGCTTGTGATTCAGAGGAAAAAGCTGTCCTCTGAGCTGTGCACACACAGCAATGGGATACAGACCTTCCGGCCAGTTTCCAGCACAGTCCATTACACTAGTGCTCTGGGTAGGTGTTTCGCCACCTGCCTTCAACCGCGGTAGCTATGTGAGAGGGAAATGCTTTCTGGCGGTGGGAAAAAGGCAGATCCAAGTGTCTCCTGAGAGTCTGCTGCCAGACCTCTCGTGGCACAGGCAGGTCTGACCCCCTGTGGGAGGGAGAGCTCTGTGGGTAAGGGCACCAGGGAGAAAACATATATGTGATAAACACATGTATAAGAAAGAAGGACATACCATTGAACTGTACACACACAAAACCACTAATAAAAATAGGAAAACAGCTGTACTGGGTCCCTGTAACTCAGGAGTTTGTTTCTGACGGATTTATGCTTCCCTTGTATAACTTCACTGGATTTGGCTGTCTGTGGCTCTGTGACAGTCACATCCTTGTGTTTTCTGGCCCTTATCTAATGAGTGCAAGTTCATGTCCTGGGTGCCACTGTGCTC